GAAAGGCGATGAGGAACTCAAGTCTCAGCTGTCCCTTAAGAGTGGGGTTTAACTAAGGATTTAACTATTGGGGAGGGCCATAGCTCATTGGTAGAGCACATTCTTTGAATGCAAAAGGTCCCAGGTTCGCTTTGCTTCAGGCTGAGTCTCACTTTGGTTTGCTGAAACATCAGGTGTCTGTCTGCTATGCAAGTCAGTAGAAACTGTCCTTTCTTCATGGGTGTATATGGGAAGAAATAAAATATGCACCCCATATAAAGCCACTAAGGTGGGCAGCAAGGACTCTGATACCTCAGTGGCGTTTGGTGCCTCATTGGTCCTTGGTAGAAGGTAGACTTATCCTTCCATCAGCCACTTTTGGGGGGTACAGCCCCTCTCCCACCTTGTGCAAGGTGATCAAATGATTTCTAGTTCCTTATGGACATTAAACTGTGTAGATCTTCAAAGCCTGAGTAGCCAGTGAGCGGCCATTTAATTTAATGATTGCTCAGTGTTGCTTTTACATGTTTCTATGTTGCTGTACACTGCCTCAATGTTTTGCACTAAATAAAATATAATTTATAAAAACCTTGTGAAGCCATTGGTTTTCCATTTCATAGAATCATAGAATTAGAGATTTGAACGCTACCCCAAAGGTCATCTAGTGCAACCCCCTGCAATGCAGGAATCTCAGCTGAAGCAGCCAATCTCTTCTTAGAAACCTTCAATGAAGGAGAGTCTCCAACTTCCCAAGGGAGTCCGTTCTACTGTCGAACAGTGTCATGAGACAAAGATTTTTGAGAGCAGAAGCAGTAAGGCCTACAAGGCATACACAGTCATTCAAGCCTGCTAACTGTTAACAGCAAACTGCTAAGTCACTGTGACTCGTGACTCATCTTGAGTAATGACTCATTCTCCCTATAAAACAGGGATCGGCAACCCAGGGCCCATGGGTCACAAGCAACCCATGGGGGTCATTTAACCAGCCCATGAGCCACCCCCAAACCAAGCCACGCACTCGGCACGTCCCCGTGCACTGCACTAAACCAGCGCAATGTGGTGACTTGCTTCTGCAGCACCAGAATTGCGGATGGGCATGCTCAGGCACATGTGTGGTCTGGGCCCCGGAGGGATCTCCACTGGAGTGAACCGGCCCAGGCGAGGTAAACCTTGCCGACCCCTGCTATAAAAGTAGCCAGCCTCTCTGTGTGTCTCGGCCAGTGTGTGTGTGTGTTGTGTTGTTGCAGATGTTATTGCAGATAGAGTGGCTCCAGGACTCTAGTAAATCAGTAACTAAGACTGTGCCTCTGTGAAGAGTCAGAGAGCTGCTATGAGCACTCTGTGTATGCTCTTGAACTATGCTGTTTCTGAACAAGTTTCTTTTTCTCAAGTAAAAGTTTTATTCTGTTTATGAAGAAGACTCTGCGCTGGTTAATTTACCACTGTGCAACAAACAGCTCATACTGTCAGAAAGTTCTTCCTGATGTTTAGTCATCAGTGGGAGAAGCAACAAGAGGAACAGCCATTTTAGATCTGGTCCTAACCAATGGTGATGACCTGGTTAGTGGGGTAGAAGTGGAAGGATCATTGGGCGCGAGTGATCATGCTCTTCTGAAGTTTACTATACAGCGGAAAGGAGCAGCCAAGCATACTAGGACTCAATTTCTTGACTTTAAGAAAGCCGACTTCATAAAACTTAGGAAGTGCTGGGTGAGATCCCATGGACAGTAATACTAAAAGGAAAGGGAGTTCATGATGGCTGGGAGTTTGTTAAGAGGAGATAGTAAAAGCACAACTTCAGGCAATACCAATGAGACGGAAACATGGAAGGTGCCTAAAGAAGCCAGGGTGGCTATCTAAAGAACTTTTAACTGAGTTAAGATTAAAAAGGATGTGTACAAAAATGGAAAAGGGGGAAACCACCAAAGAGGAATTCAAACAAATAGCCAGCACGTGTAGACACAAAGTCAGAAAAGCTAAAGCACAGAATGAACTCAGGCTTGCTAGAGAGGTTAAAAGCAACAAAAAGGCTTTTATGGGTATGTTCATAGCAAAAGGAAGAACAAAGAAACAGTGGGGTCACTCAGAGGAGAAGATGGTGAAATGCAAACAGGGGACACAGAAAGGGCTGAACTCCTCAATGCCTTCTTTGCCTCAGTCTTCTCCGATAAAGAAAACAATGCCCGACCTGAAGAATTTGGAGCAAATGATTCAGCAAAGGAAACACAGCCCAGAATAACTAAGGAGATAGTACAAGAATACTTGGCTAGTTTAGATGTATTCAAGTCTCCAGGGCCAGATGAACTGCATCCAAGAGTATTAAAAGAACTGGCAGGTGTGATCTCAGAACCACTGGCAGTCATCTTTGAGAATTCCTGGAGAACAGGCAGTCATCTTTGAGAATTCCTGGAGAACCCTGTGGGGTGCCACAGGGTTCTGTCTTGGGCCCGGTCTTATTCAACATCTTTATCAACGACTTGGATGATGGACTCAAGGGCATCCTGATCAAATTTGCAGATGACACCAAACTGGGAGGGGTGGCTAACACCCCAGAGGACAGGATCACACTTCAAAATGACCTTGACAGATTAGAGAACTGGGCCAAAACAAACAAGATGAATTTTAACAGGGAGAAATGTAAAGTATTGCACTTGGGCAAAAAAAATGAGAGGCACAAATACAAGATGGGTGACACCTGGCTTGAGAGCAGTACATGTGAAAAGGATCTAGGAGTCTTGGTTGACCACAAACTTGACATGAGCCAACAGTGTGACGCGGCAGCTAAAAAAGCCAATGCAATTCTGGGCTGCATCAATAGGAGTATAGCATCTAGATCAAGGGAAGTAATAGTGCCACTGTATTCTGCTCTGGTCAGACCTCACCTGGAGTACTGTGTCCAGTTCTGGGCACCACAGTTCAAGAAGGACACTGACAAACTGGAACGTGTCCAGAGGAGGGCAACCAAAATGGTCAAAGGCCTGGAAACGATGCCTTATGAGGAACGGCTAAGGGAGCTGGGCATGTTTAGCCTGGAGAAGAGGAGGTTAAGGGTGATATGATAGCCATGTTCAAATATATAAAAGGATGTCATATAGAGGAGGGAGAAAGGTTGTTTTCTGCTGCTCCAGAGAAGCGGACACAGAGCAATGGATCTAAACTACAAGAAAGAAGATTCCACCTCAACATTAGGAAGAACTTCTTGACAGTAAGAGCTGTTCGACAGTGGAATTTGCTGCCAAGGAGTGTGGTGGAGTCTCCTTCTTTGGAGGTCTTTAAGCAGAGGCTTGACAACCATATGTCAGGAGTGCTCTGATGGTGTTTCCTGCTTGGCAGGGGGTTGGACTCGATGGCCCTTGTGGTCTCTTCCAACTCTATGATTCTATGATTCTATGATTCATAATCTCCTTTCTTGTAACTTGAATTCATTGGTTCGAGTCCTACCCTCCAGAGTGGTAGAAAACAAGCTTGCTCCCTCTTCTATGTTACAGCCCTTTAGATATTTGAAGAAGGCTATCCTATTTCCTCACACTCTCCTCTTTTCCAGGCTAAACATACCCTGCTCCTTCAACCATTCTTCATAAGGTTTGGTTTTCAGACCCAGGATCATCCTGGTCTCCATCCTCTGCACATGTTCCATCTTGTCAGCATCCTTCTTACTATTATTATTGGAAAGATTTTCACAAAGCTGTTGGGATCACAAAGAGATAAGGTCTAGGTGTGACACCACTTAAGTCACACTCAATGTGGCCTCATTGAATTTAATGAACTTAGGTTCCTTGAATCCACTAAGCTAGATGGAACAATATGCTCTTATTCAATATAAGGTAGCTCCCTATGTTCCTAATAAGTGGGTGGCATCCATGTGTTTGTGTGGTTTCATAAAGATTATTTGTGTGCAGTGTGTTACTAATACACCACGTAAATACCAATACACTGGTATGCTATGTTCATGTTCTCTGTAGGCATCTTGGAGGGCGGGGACCAGAACCCATAGTTATACTTAAATAGATTATCAATAGTGCAAATAAGGTTATCAATAGGTCAAAATACTTACTGCTCTTGGCAGGAGAAAACGGCTAGCATGCAAACTAGTTACTTACATTGTGAAGTTTAATAAATAATACAAATCCAATCATATCCTGCATGCTTTCAGCATTGCCATAGTAGCTTTCGAAGGCATCATTTTCCATTCATTGTTTCCATTCTGCTGCAGTTTGTCTTCCACCAAGACCTATGCCATTTGTCCCGCTGTCTGCTGTGATGAATGTATGCAATTTCATAGTTAATCCATAAATTATGTTACCACATTATTCCTTCTCATTCATTTTGAAACACAATGTGAATGCTGGGAAAACATAATAAATTATGTCGCATTTGTGGATGGAAAGCAACAGCAACAGCAAATACTGATTGCATTCTCTGGCTATCCATTACAGATGTGGGATAAAGAAGCAAACACTGGACATTTCTACCCTGACATCCCTTTTCTTTATGATTCTCCATTGTGTATTCTGTCATTTTTGAGCCAAACATTTTGCCTTAGCAGGTGGAGTGTGTGAGACAGCAGGCTGTGTTCTGCCTGGTGCCTTAGTGTCTACGAGCATTGACTTGTGTGCATATGTGCTAGGGACAAAATATTTATTTACTCCCCTACAACAGATTTCTGTACCAGTGACACAGAGGAAGGTCCTGAGTCTTGAACACTAACAATGGTTTAACAAGGCATCTCAAAATAGGTTTAAAATGAAGATAGTGATTTACTGAGAACAGGAAACAAATAAAAATAAAAATAGACACTGTGCCTGGTAAACAGAGATGGCTGGAGTGCATGGCCTTCATACAAGGCCCCATAAAAATATTCTGGCTGCTATAGCATCATTCAAAAAGGCAGCAGGGGAGGGGATATCCACTTCACAATAAACATGTTGCCATAGACTGTTTCCAGCTACAGCATTCGGTGGGTAATCATAAATACACACATACCCACTTTGGGATTGTGTGTCCAACAGCAAAGGTCAATGCCGTCAGAAAATAACTTGTGCCATGTTTTTCTAGAGATTGATCTCTTGGCATATGGGAAAAATAAAACTGCACAGACTGAGAGAAGCAAAGAAGGCGGAAGGAAAGGAAGGAGGAGAAAATCCAAAGTAAATGGATTTAAATCCAAATTTAAAATTTAAAATATAATTTAAAAGGAATAAAATAAAAACAGCAGTCTCACATTACATTAGCCACAAGTCCACTCACCTTTTCTGGTGGGCTGCATTGCAGCCAGGCAGCCAGGACTCTGCAGTGATCTGGCGGGGGCCGGAGAATTGACACCCCCTTCCATGTTGTCCTGGCCGCATTGCTGGTGTTGGGCGATGGCCCTCCTCTCTTGCCCTGTCGCCAGATCTGGTTGGATCTCCTGTGTTATTCTGTAGGCTGTGTTCACTCAGATAACCAATAAAGTAACCAATAAAGTTGTGGCCTATTTGCACCCATAAACCAAAATGCTTGTGCCCTTGTGTTTATTATCCATTAGGGAACTGTGGATTATGGGGCATTGGCATGCAATCCATCGGTACCCTGTAGCTTTTAACGAAATATTCTTCCTTGATTCTCTTTTTTTTCAAACCAGCTTCCATGTGATTCAGAAATGGAAACCACAGTTCCGTTGTGGTGTGAACAGTTCAGACAGCTTTTGCCCACAGGTGGATGAAAACATCGATGAATTGGATTTCAGCAGAGGTACAGACAGGTGCTGTTATCCTCGCCTCTGTTCTGGTGTGGAAAAGTGCCTTGGAAATGGGGGGGGGGGGAATGTTGAAGCATTGCAAGCTGCTAATGTGAACATACCCTAAGTCAATCTCAATTTAAGCCTGTGTTAATAGGTGAACTTTCAAAAGGAGAGGTGGGTTGTTTTTAGTTAATGTTGCCTGTGTTATTCCTCAGTGCATTTAATGGAGGTGAAGGGTCAGTTTTGTTAACACAAAAGGCCAGGGATTTGCTCCCATTTTCCAATTTCATAGTTACAATGCCGATTGATGTAAGGTAATAAATCCCCTAGAATCTTTTGACATTTGCTACATTATACAGTACTTAATCCTCCTTCAGGCTCCCTTACTATTTTCCCCAGAAGCTATTTTCCTGCTAGTGCAGTCCAAGACTTGAACAGTCAGCTCAACCACCCAGGTGTTACAACTCGATAATGGATGGGTGATGTGCTATAATAAATAAACAAACACTTCAGAATTCTATTTCCTTTACAGTTAAGGCCAAGACATCTATATAAAGACCTTTGGATCCAGCAGATTGGTTCACAAATGTAAGTATCACAATTACCCAATAACTTGTGCAATAGGCAGAAGGTTGTAATGTGGTGCAAATATTTCAAAACACATCCTAGCTACTGCCGGGGGGGGGGGTCTGAAAGCAATACCCTTTCCCATGATCTTTCATCTATCAAGGTATGGAATCTGCCCATAACAAGAATAGCAAATGGCCCAGCACAGAGTACACCAGGACCCATGTGAGACAGAAAATTGAAATGGAATCCAATACAACCTCAGATTGGGTGATGGAAGATTTGCAGTGGCAGCCAGGAAGGTGATTCTTCAAATGAGTCAAGTTACACATGCATGTGAAACCTTTCATGCATTGAACAATCTTGAAATTAGCAGAGGATTTTTTTTTCATCCCTAAGAACATAAGAACATACCGCACAATTGCACTCATTTCACACACTAGCAAGGTTATGCTTAAAATTCTACAAGGCAGGCTTAAGCAGTATGTGGACTGAGAACTCCCAGAAGTGCAAGCTGGATTTCGAAGGGGCAGAGGAACCAGAGACCAAATTGCAAACATGTGCTGGATTATGGAGAAAGCTAGAGAGTTCCAGAAAGACATCTAATTCTGCTTCATTGACTATGCAAAAGCCTTTGACTGTGTCGACCAGAGCAAACTATGGCAAGTTCTTAAAGAAATGGGAGTGCCTGATCACCTCATCTGTCTCCTGAGAAATCTCTATGTGGGACAAGAAGCTACAGTTAGAACTGGATATGGAACAACTGACTGGTTCAAAATTGGGAAAGGAATACAGCAAGGCTGTATATTGTCTCCCTGCTTATTTAACTTATATGCAGAATTCATCATGCGAAAGGCTGGGCTGGATGAATCCCAAGCCGGAATTAAGATCGCTGGAAGAAATATCAACAACCTCAGATATGCAGATGACACAACCTTGATGGCAGAAAGTGAGGAGGAATTAAAGAACCTTTTAATGAGGGTGAAAGAGGAGAGCGCAAAATATGGTCTGAAGCTCAACATAAAAAAAACGAAGATCATGGCCACTGGGCCCATCACCTCCTGGCAAATAGAAGGGGAAGAAATGGAGGCAGTGAGAGATTTTACTTTCTTGGGCTCACTGCAGATGGTGACAGCAGTCACGAAATTAAAAGACGCCTGCTCCTTGGGAGAAAGGCGATGGCAAACCTAGACAGCATCTTAAAAAGCAGAGACATCACCTTGCCAACAAAGGTCCGTATAGTTAAAGCCATGGTTTTCCCAGTAGTGATGTATGGAAGTGAGAGCTGGACCATCAAGAAGGCTGATCGCCGAAGAATTGATGCTTTTGAATTATGGTGCTGGAGGAGACTCTTGAGAGTCCCATGGACTGCAAGAAGATCAAATGTATCCATTCTTAAGGAAATCAGCCCTGAGTGCTCACTGGAAGGACAGATCGTGAAGCTGAGGCTCCAATACTTTGGCCACCTCATGAGAAGAGAAGACTCCTGGAAAAGACCCTGATGTTGGGAAAGATGGAGGGCACAAGGAGAAGGAGACGACAGAGGACGAGATGGTTGGACAGTGTTCTCGAAGCTACCAACATGAGTCTGACCAAACTGCGGGAGGCAGTGGAAGACAGGAGTGCCTGGCGTGCTTTGGTCCATGGGGTCACGAAGAATCGGACACGACTAAACGACTAAACAAAAAGAACATAAGAAGAGCCTGCTTGATCAAGTCAATGTCCCATCTAGTCCAGCATCCTATTGTCAAAAAACAAATGACAATGGGAAGTGGGAAAGCAGGACCTGAGCCCAACAGCACTCTCTTCATTTGTGATACCCAGCAACTGGCACCAGTTGCTACCCGGAAAGTGTATAAGAGGGCAGAACACTAATAGACATAACCAGAGAGGCTGAAGCTGATGGAAATGAGCTCACACAGAAAATTCTCAAACTTGATGGGGCACAGCTCAGACCCTCACGGGTACATTGCCCTGAACCTGAGTAACCAAATGTTTTAATAGGACCTCACTGATCCAGCACCACAGGTGGAAGCACACCAGGTGGGAGACTCTGGAAAAGAGGCCAAGTGTCCATCTTCAAGGTAAAGTGATGTTCATTTAAGAATCTTAATTTAGCCACAAATCCTGGTATAGCTTGTCTGGGGTTCTATCTGCTCTCAACATTTGTTGGAGGAAGTTGCTCACCCAGGGCTATATGTGATCCTGTATTTAGCACATTCCTATGTTCTGTGACCTGAGTGTTGATGAAAATCCAATACTGAGAGCAACAACAAAAGGGACTTCTAGGAATTGAGAAGCCTGGTGATCCCATTTCCCCTGTACCTTAACAGATCAGAAATTCTCATACAGAGCTATTGTGAGAATAAGTAAGATAATGAAAGGTTGATACAGGTTCTGAACACTATCCAAATTGCTTGATTACCTGGTTTAAAAGAACTGAAGTATAAATCCTGAGTCCACTGATGGCAACACTGATGGCTGAATTCTGAATATCACTGGAGCTTGTTGGCCAAGCTTTGTGGTACTTTGAGTCTAGTGCGAGAAACATTTGAATGACAAGTGAACACTGGTCTGAAATGGTGTAGCACAATAGCTAAGAAGCTGAGGAGGTCCTTATTTTTAATTAAACCTCTCGCCAGGATTGAATTTACAAAATTGGATAAAGCAAGTTACTCTTGCTTACCCTCAGTTCCACAACTCCTGCAGCATAGCTAAAATGATTGTGACCTACCCTATGGGATAGTTGTAAAGATTGCAACATAAACAAATATACATGGATTGCTGTGAACACTAATCACAAAATATAAATGTTTGATGGAATTCGCATTTGTTTTATTTTTCTTTACTGTATTTTTGCCCGCCTTTGATTTGAACTCTAATCTCTGCAGTTCCTGTGGTTGATCAAGCACACAGTCCTGTTTGTTCAAAAATAGCTTGCTGGTTTGGTTGTTCTTGCAGATTTTGTGCAGATTATTGCCTGTCACGTAAGTACTAAATCAGCACTTTCCCATCTTTTATTGTTTTAACACAGCAGTTTATGCTGATTTTATTATTTCCCCCCCTCTTGGATCAATATGAATTCATTCTTGGTGGAGAAAATGAGTCATGTCACAAGGTTTCTGCCAGCTAATGACGTTGTCAAGCTCTGAACAATGCCTCTCTTCATACATGGAGTGAGCCATTGAATATACTTAAATAGACTATTTGAAGTACAGTGGTACCTCGGTTTATGAACTTAATCTGTTCTGGAAGTCCGTTCCTCAACCAAAACCGTTCTTAAACTGAGGTGCACTTTCCCTAATGAGGCCTCCCGCCGCTGGTGCCCTTCCACTGTTCGGCTTCCGTTCTTAGACCGAGGTAAAGTTTGCAAACCAGGAGTTTGCACTTCCAGTTTTGTGGAGTTCGTAAACTGAGTCGTTTGTAAACAGGGCTGTTCTTAAACCGAGGTACCACTGTATACCCAAGTGTGAACTGTACAGGCCTTAGTCTTAATCAGAGGGGAGGTTGCAAGCCTTTGCCTGTCCCTCTAAGGAAACAAGGTATCCCATTAAAGGAATCCTTTAAGAGATGCTCCTGTTTGGACATCCAGTTGGGGTCTGGGGCCATAACTCTCCTTTTAGGCAATATCTGTGTGGAGTTCTTCTTTGATGTATGTCATAGGTCTCCCTAACCATTGAATTTAACCCCTGGGAGAATCAACCAGCAGATGGGCTGGTTGATACAAGTTATGCCCAATACCTAATCCAAAGACACTTATATATGTAATCAGACACTGGGGCCTAATTTGCACCAAAAGAAGCTCGTCATGCGTGGTCATATAATCCCTATTGTGGGAACGCAAGTCATGGCACCTGGGCACGCAAGGGATATTCCTATTCTGTGAGCAGAACACTTCCCATGCTGTGTTGGCTACAACCCTATGCATTTAAATACATAGTCTGAGAGAAATTTTCTAATGCAGATTAATGCAGAAATGGAATGTAATCAAATTATGTGCAAAATGTACCAAAATAACATGAAATCAGAATAGCATCATCCAGCCCTGTTTTGCTTTTTGTGGCTCCAAATTTGCTCCTCTGCCTCTCCTACATCTTTGGTATCTCAGGATATCAGACTCCTTTTTTTGGAGGGGGGGGATACTTACATTTAAAATATTTCTTCTAGCAATAACTGAACAAATAAAACCCATTTTATTGGCTTATTTTAATGTTTTGCCTTTATAATTTTTCTAGAATACCCTTTATAGAAAGAGGCTATCCATGCAAAGACTCAAAGGTCAAATAAGTCTCTGATGTGTTCTTTTATTGTACTTTCTGCCTTTAATCAGGAGGTTAGAGAATGCATAATTTAGCACATTATGAGCCAGTTTCTCAGCTGATCTTCAGTATTTTCCTTCAGAGGAACCACTGCATTATTTCTGAGCAGGTGGTCAAATCTCTGAAATCTGCCATGCTTTGCCTTAGGTCTGCTATGATTGTTAGTTCTTAGCTAGAAAGAAAGAAAGAAAGAAAGAAAGAAAGAAAGAAAGAAAGAAGAGTTTTCTTGAGTCTGTTATTTTACACTTTGTTGTATTTTGTCTTATTGAACAGCTGATCAAAAACACCTGTCTGAATGACTGACTGACTGACTAGTTAGTTAATTAATTGCATTAGTCAATTAACTGATAAAATATTTATAAAATTGAAAAAGAGCTCTCCCTTGCTAGATCCGGGCAACTTATTATTACTGCTTTGGGGTTAATCAAAATTATGGAAAATCCTTTTTATAAAACACTTCTGCAGCAGATTCTAATTTGCTTTTCCTGTTTGGGCAACAAGGTACCAATAACAGAACTGCTAAATTGCTCCCTGGTGTTAATGTCTCAATGGCCTTTTCACCTGCAGATCTATCATGTTATTCTTTATAAAATAATGTACTACACTGTCCTCTTTCCTTTTTCAGACATGCTAAATTGTTTTGTGTCATTGCAGGCATATTTCATGATTACATTATCAAACTGTTGATGCCTTTGGAGGAATCCCAAAGCCATGAAAAAGCACACAGCGATGCTCCTTTCCTCTCCTTTTTTTTAACTGGTTATGTCAAGCGGTTAATACTGCTGTTATTCAGATAGCATAAAAGCACATATTGTGTGAAGCACATATTGCATATGATTGAAAAGTGTAACGTTTTTATCTTGGTTTGCAAACTATCAGGAGAGAATATTAATAAATGGGCAGTCACATATAGGTCTTTTAGAAAACAACAAGGATGAAAAAGGCTGAGTCTCTCTCTCTCTCTCTGCTTGAAGCTAAACAAAAAGAATGGGTCCAGCATTTCACTAGAGCCTACTTGGAGCCATGCCAGATTAATACTGGAAAACTGAGTTTGCTATGCAGTAAATCTTTTAGGGGAAATTTATAGGGTCTTATTTCATTCTTCTGGGATTTCAATTGGCACATATCAGCTTGTCAGCAGAAAAGGAGTTTGGGTTACCTGTGTGATTACCCCACCTTACCCCAGAAATCACAACTGTAAGATAGAAAACCAAACAAAAAGCAAATGCCTAACTTCTTTATATCAAAGTTTGGCATGAAGAAAAGAAAAGAAAAACCTTGGGCAGGGCAAAAAAGCAAGCTGTGGCAATTTCAGACAGGAAGATGACCTCATACCAAGAAAGCTTTTCTGACAGGAAGAGAGAAAAGAGAATGGAATTCCAGGTGCTGGGAGAGTAGTTCTTTCAGACCCAACAAACCTCATAAACATTCTTTTTTGAGAGCACTATAAATATGAGAAATATGGTGTGTCATCGTCCCCCCCCCCAAAAAACCCCCCCCAACAACTCCAGAGAGCATTAACGTTAACAATGAACAATACCTTAATGGTCCAAAGCAGAATCCTACTAGAACAATAAAATCCTGTAACACCCTAATTTAAATGAAGCCTTCTGAGGAATGGCTGAGGAAACTGGGTATGAGTCTGGGAAAGAGGAGGCTGAGAGGAGACATGATTGCCATCTTCACATGGAAGAGGGAACAAGCTTGTTTTCTCCTGCTCTGAAGGGTAGGGCCCAAACCAATGGCTTCAAGTTACAAGAAAGGGGATTCCAACGAAACATCAGGAAGAAGCTGTTTGGCAGTGGAATGGACTCCCATGAGAGGTTCTTCATTGGGGGTTCTTCAGCAGAGGTTGAATGGTCATCTGTCATGGATGTCTTCATTGAGATTCCTGCACCCCAGGACATTGGGCCCTTGGAGTCCTTTCCAACTGTATCATTCTATGAAATTGTGTTATTCTCAAAGGCCTGATACTAAGTCGGAGGGGAGAAAGCCAATAAGACAGGAAAAAATATCAATTCCTCCCCCCCCCCCCCCGAGTCTTGAATTATTCCCTAGAACCAATAGTTTGGCATTTTACAGGCTACAGCAATTAGGGCAATTCTTATTTGTGATGAGCAACTTGATCATGAAGGAGAAAAGCTCTGCCAGAAGCATGGGGGGGGGGGGCGTCTAAATGATAAATCTCTGCAGCAGGCCATCTCTTTAAACTTGAAGAAGGGCATTTTAGTGACATGTCATTGGAGCTTGCATGAATGTTGCATGCAGAACACAGAGTTAATAAAATATACAACACCTGCTTTGGGTGAGGCTTGGTATTCTTAGTTCTGAACCATTCCAAAAAGGCTGCCAAGTGACCAGGTGTTCTGTAAGTGCTGCAAAATTGGTAAAATTATAGCCTCTCTATTTTAGCAAAATAAAATATCCTAGGTACATTTGGAGTGGAGCACTTATGAATCTCATCTAGGTGAGTGAGTAGACCCATTAAAAGCAGTAGACTTCATTTGCTCATGTGCATTGATTTCAATGGGTCTTCTATGAGTATGAGTTAGTTTGAAACAGCCTACTGTTTAAGATTACATTGTTGAGGGGATCCACTTAAGGTATTTCTTCTCTCCAGGGTCAACTTCCCTCCAATTAGTTCCATGACCAATTCTTCTAGGTTCCAGGTGTTAGACAGATAGATAGATTTTTCCTTTTAGTATTTAGCATGTGCACTTGCCCAAACCATGTGAATTCAACTGATGTCATTCATGAGCGCAGCATTGTATCATTTGAATACCTCCCTGATTTCATTTTCCATCTAAAGAAAACCCTGAGCATTTGAAGAGCAATAATATCTATTCAGTATTAAAATGCCTACAGGGGCATTTGGTGATGGAATTTGTTACCACAAGATACAGTGATGGCCCATAAATTAAAAGAGAATTCAAATTAATTGCTACTAAACCTGATGGCTATATGTAACCTCCAGGATGTGTGGCAACAGGAGATGGCCACTGCCAGTGTGGTGCAGTGGTTAAAGCATTAGACTAAAACCTGGGAGATCAGGGTTCAAATCTCCACTGAGTGACCTTGGGCCAGTCACAGTCTCTCAACCTAACCTACATTATAGATTGTTGTGGTCAAATGAGTAGACAAGGAACCATGTATGCTACCTTGAGATCATTAGAGGAAAAAGTTGGGATATAAATGCATTTTAAAAAAATAAAATAAAATGTATTGCTTGTGAGCTTTTCCAGAGACTACTGGCTGGTTCCTCTGAGAAACACAATGGTGGGCCTAATAGGCCTTTAGTGCACTCTTTTATACTTTTATTCTTATCCTCTGAAATATATTTTCTTTAGCAATATCCTTCTTGGTGGCTTCAAGAGAGCAGGAAAGGAGAGGTGTGACCTTGCTCCTGCTTCTTGATCTCTCGTTGACTTTTGGTACCATTGACCATGGTATCCTCCTGGACTGGCTCTGGGGAGTGGGAATTGCATTGCAGTGGTATCAATCCTACCTTCACGACTGAGTCCAGAGAGTAGCATTTGGAGAGTGCCTTTTGGCCCCCTTGTAGCCATGCTATGGGGCTATCTTATCTCCAGTACTCTTTCATATCAGAATGAAGCTATTGGGAGTGGTCAATAGGACTTTGGGGGGGGGTGAAGTGCCATCAGTATGCTGATGACACTCAGTGATATTTCTCCTTAACGCCTGAATCAGGAGAGGCTGTGCAGTCATTGGGCCATTGCCTGGAATGAGGAAATGGAAGAGGAAGAACAAGTTGAACCTGAATCCTGGCAAGACAGAGGCACTGTGGATGAGTAGCCTCCATGTCTGAGAAATTGGTCAATTGCCTTCCCTAGATGGCGTTGTGCTCCTCCTGAAATACTCTTAGTAAATAAATAAGTGATCTGACATTTCTGATTTGAAGCACTAATCAAATCAACCATGAACAAGTATTCCAAAGGCAGAACGCTTTTACTGGCTTACCTCTTCTTCTTTTTTAAAAAAGGAACTCTCCTTAATCGAGTCTGTCTTCCCCTATCTAACCTGATTGATTATATGCATTTTTCTTATCACTGGCTTGTGTATGAACACTGGGCTGAATTGTGGCTACATTTAATGAGGCAGAAATGCCTCTCATAATATATCAACTTACACCTTTTGGCTGCTCTTATTTTATGCAAAGCTCTCTCCTCTGCCCTAGCACAGTGACTGATCTTGCTGTGACAAAACAGTATCAGATGTTGGAGTCAGCATTTCTTTTATTTCATTGGGGGCAGATGTCTGCATTTCAAAAAAACAAAAAAATCTAGTGCCACAAATTTTAAACCATTACCGGTATATTACAGCCATCTGAGTTCCAAAAGGTATTAAAAAAAAAAAAAAAGTTCACCATTGCTAGTGTCGTTGCAGGATCTGGGACTGGGCTTCGGTCAATATGGTGTATAGATGAAATAACCAATATAGTGCTTTCCAAATATTGTTGAATTACAATTCCCATTATCTTTGACCATTAGCCATGCCTAAGCCATGGATGAGGCAAGGTGAGGTCCCCACCTTGAAAAGCAGAAGCCCAAGAACCAGCATCTGCCTCATATGTGCAGTTCATTCCCAGTGGCCTTCATCCATGAAATCAGTTGCCTGGACTGAAAGTCCCGCCTTCCCACCACCCTCTAAGTCCCCTCCTCTCCAAGGCTTTCCCCAAGCAATTGGAGGCTGTGCCTGCATGCAGCCTGTCACTGCTCCGCCTGTTTCAGCCCTCTTCTGGTTCTGGGAGATGTCAGGAGGAGCTTGTCACAGCAGAAGGGGGAGAGATCTGTGGCTGTTCACCAGTCTGACTCATCTCTGCCTCTTTACCTCTCTTCCCTGCTTCATCTTCTGCTCCTGATTCTTGACTTTTCTCTGCCATAGACTCTCCCAGCTCACTAAGCCCTGTTACCCCTTCAGCTTACAACACCTCCTCTTCTCCCTCTGACCACTCTTTATTTTCCCACCACCAATCCCTGGGCTCTGAGCCTTCTTCTCTTAGTGATTCACCAACTGGTTCCTCCCACCATTCCTCTGTGTCCAACCAGTCCCTGATACTTGGCTGGAATGTGTCCTTGGACTCTGATAATACTTCTTGTTCACCTGGGTGGACGATAGAGAGGGATGTGTGTGTGTGTGAAGAAACTAGCCTCCTAAACAAATGTAAAGTTTACATTAAGAATGATAGAATTGTACAGTCTGAAAGAAACCAGATGGTCATCTAGTCCAAGCCCCTGCATTGCTGTGCCTAGTTTTGCCTCTGGCTCTGTCCATTACTGCTATGTGGCCCTTGGAAAAGAATGTGGTCATTGAGCTGAAAGAAGTTTGACATTCCTGCAACAGAGTTCCAGCTTCCCAGTGTAATCATGAAACCAGGCTCCCCCCTGGAATTGGTTGACTTTTAGCAGCCTCCAACATTATAGATCCTTCTCCATCTAGGACAAGGTCACTTCAGACATCTGTGTCAGTGAACCTTTAACGTGGAACACAACTTAGAACATCACACTCCAGGTTGATTCAGAAGCTTATCAGTACATTCATCTTTGGCTTTAAAAGACAATCTTCTGCCCTCTAATAATAAATTTAATTTTCTTTGTTTCTACAAGAGATGTCATCTCTGGGGGGAGGAAACCCCTAAAGTTAATAGAAAAACTGTCTGTCAACTAGTACAGAAATCTCAGCTGAGCTGCAGGAGAGCAGATATTTAAGGCGGCATATTCCCTCTCCTCCACCTCATACAGTAAAAAGTGGAAAGAGAAAGAGAGAACTTTTATGGCATCAAATTTCTATGAGGTTCAGTTTTCAGTGGGAGAAAAAATGCCATTGAGGTCACAGGAAACATTACACAAATTCACTACCTTCAGAAATGGAAAAAATGGAAATGTGGCCATACATCTTAATATAATGATTGACAAAGCAAGCAGTAAGAAAAACTAACTTAAGAACATAAGAAGAGCCTGCTGGATGATACCAGTGGCCCATCTAGTCCAGCATCCTGTTCTCACAGTAAGCAAACAAATGCCTATGGGAAACCTACAAGCAAGACCCCAGCAGAAGAGTGCTCTCACCTCCTGTGGTTTCCAGCAACTGGTATTCAGAAGCGTTGCTGCCTCCAACTGTGGAGGCAGAGCTTAGTCACTGAGCTATTGATAGTCCTCTCCTCCATGAAGAAGATAGGAGAGTGGGACAGGTTCATTTTGTTATCAAGAACTAGTGTAACTGGGACCTCAAGAAGCACCAGCTTCACAATAACTTTCCTGGAGGCACTTGATATGTTGAGATGGAACAATGCACTGCTCTTCGCATTATATTATGCAAATAAGTATAAGGACATAGAAGGTAGCACTGCATTCCAAGCAAACCAAAACAAACCTAACATGACTTCTATGTATTGTACTTTTTTCTGTAGATGGTGGTGGCTCAAAACTATGCAGTGCTGCCTGTGAGGGGTGTCCTCTGAGCCAGAGAAGTGATGCAGACTTACATCCTTTGGCCTGGAGAGACTGGTAATGAGAGTCACCAGCTCCACAGATTATGCGTTCTCTTTTTCGCTGTACTCCATGTATTATATTACAATTACAGGAAATGTTTCTAAATGTGCAGCTATACATATAAATATTCATATGCAAATGACATGCAAATCTGAGTCCTCTCTTTCAGTTCTGGGTTTTGTGTGTATGATACATTAGTGGCTGTGTTGAAATAAATTAAAGGGATTTATTTTATTTTTTTTGCAACGCAGAGGGGGTAGTGATTATTTTTAATTCCCCAAATATTACATTTGCACAATCAGCTGCATTTTGCAATCACACCACTTTATATTAGCCCTTATTTGGGCAGACCAGTCTCTTTTCTTTTCCCACGAAACCTGCTACACTCCAGCATGTGTGACTTTACCTCATCCCCTTGAATGTTCATTGTTTGGATATGTTGCTCCCCTCCCCTCCCCTCCCCTCCCCTCCCCTTCAAACTGTCTCCTTGCTACTCACTTTCTCTGCCACTCATTGCCCATGATAGACTCTAATCGGTTTTGATGACCAACTTCTACATTGCGTAAGAGAGAGGCAAGGTAAGCCTGTAATTTGGACTACTATTGCAGAGTGATTGTAAATGAACAGCATGAGATCAGTAAGAAAATGAATGCTGCTTTGTGAAATCTTGCTATTTGAGCACAAGAAAAAGTTTAGTGAGAGGAAGGGGAGGAAGGAAGTTTAATACAAACAATAACAATAATAATAAACCAATTTTCAAAAGGAAGCTTTTGGGCTCCATGTTGTCTTATATTTGTTTGTTTAACTTCTATCCAAGTTTCATGTGTCTTGCATTGGGTTTCCAAGCATCCTATGCAGGAAGATACACAGGAACCTGCCATATACCAGTGCAGACTGTTGGCCCACCTAGTATAGCACTGTTTACACTGACTGGCTCTGGTTCTCCCAGATTTCAGGCAGGATCTTTCCCAGCCTTAGCTGGAGATGCTGGGTAGTGAATCCAAGATCGTCTGCATGCAAAAGCATGTGCTCCACCACTACCTTATGGCTCTTCATCACACTTCACAGTATACAATTTTTTAAAGCATCTGTCCTAATTCTTCTGCATTTCATAATCTAATAGGAACGGAAGTCTTATGAACTACTGTACAATCAGATGTGCATGTTCTTTTGCACTGCCCCTTGTATCAGACAACTCAATTCAATCTGTTGGTTGTTAGCAGGGAGTGGCAGTGAAATGAATGCAATGTGGCCTTCCCAATGTTTACCCCGGATGGGGATAAGATGGAGATAGCAGCCAGGTTTCTGCAGCGTGCAATGAGGATTTGTGAATGTCACACAACAGTATTTTAAGTGTTAGATGCAGATTTTGCTGAGTGATTTTATTGTACTAAATCTTTCTGAATTTTGTCTATACAGTGGTATCTCGGGATGTGAACGGGATCCGTTCCAGAGCCCTGTTCGCATCCTGAATGGAACGTAAGACACGACGGCGCATCTGCGCGTGTGCGGGTTGTGTTTTGCTGCTTCTGCGCATGCATGTGATGTCATTTTGAGCGTCTGCGCATACGCAAGCGGTGAAACCTGGAAGTAACACGCTCCATTACTTCCGGGTTGCCGCAGAGTGCAACCAGAAAGCGCTCAACCTAAAGCACATTCAACCCGAAGTATGACTGTATACCAATAAGGTTTGAGACTAAAATTGAGCAACCTTCTGCATGTTCCACCAGTGAGCTGTAGCTTCTCCCTTAGGATTAGGTATCAAAGCAAATTGATATTGAGATTTCATAGAATCGTAGAATGGTAGAGTTGGAAGGGACACTGAGGGTCATCTGGTCCAATGCTCTGCAATGCAGGAATCTCAACTAAAGCATCCATGACAGGTGTCCATCCAACCTCTGCTTAAAAACCTCCAAGAGAGGAGAGTCCACCACCTCCCAAGGGAGTCTGTTCCATGGTTGAACAGCTCTTGCTGTCAGAAAGTATTTCCTGCTGATTAGTTGGAATCTCCTTTCTTATAACTTGATTCCATTGGTTTGGGTCCTCGTCTCTGGAGCAGGAGAAAACAACCTTACTCCATCTTCCATTTGTAGGATACCTTGGGAGGAATTCAAGGTAGCGCTAAGTTAAAATTGATTTGTGGCATATGAGTTGCCCTAGTGGAATGGCTCTTGTACAATAGGAGGCACAGGAAGCCAGTGTGGTTCTTGTATCTGGTTGTGCAACAGATTGCTGCAATCTCTGTCCTTCTAATGCACAACTGTTTCACAATAAACTTCTGCTAGTGCAACTGTTGCCCAGGATTTCACATTGCACCCCCTTATACTAGCACAACACCGACAGTCAATGAATGTTGAATCTGGGCCCTTTAGTTTAAATCTTGACACCCAGCACTTTTTTAAGGAAAAAAGTGATGGTTCTCACCCGTGTTTTTTTTTCTAAAAAATGTTTAGGGGTACTCTCATTTTCCTACTCATATTGAAATACTGCCCCTCAATGAGGCCAAACTTAGATTCACAAATTTTTAGGGGTATGTGTGCCCCTGCAAACCCCAGAAACAAAGCAGTGGTTCTCACCATGAAGTTGTTACAGTAACTGCCACACTGTTAACATGCGGGGGGGGGGGAGGTGTTGGTACTGTGTACCCTTAGGTACCTTCAGAATAACAGCACTGCTGGCACCTAATTAAAAATGCTGATAAAATTTATTAGTACATCTACAGTCTTACTTTTGATTAGGGCCAAGATTTCTTGCACTTCCTTGCATTTGGAGAAAAAACTCCCATTGATACCAGGACAGCTTTCCTTCTATTGCAATAGGAGACATGGAATGGCAGAATTCAGTTTGGGATCACAATGAGGTCAATTGAATCTCGCCTCCCTCCCTTCCATAGTCCCAGCCCAGCTCTTCCCCACCTCCCATGAAAACTTCTTTTAAAAAACCTAAAACCCCCGACCCATCTCCTTCTGCCCTACTGAAAATAACATCACATCTAGTTTGACCCTGGCATGCCTATGGTTTGTTCTACTTTCACAAAAATGATCTCTTTGCCTTACTAGAGCAAAGGGAAAGGTAAATCTTTGGAGGGGATCAAACACTGGAAAACAAAAAGGAGATATAATATAGAGACATCAGTGGGAAAAGTGGTAGTTTGCCCCACCAAAGGCAAAAAAATAAAATAAAAATGAAATGAAACATTGCGCGACCCCATCAACACAGAAACCATGCCTCCAAGCGGAAGCTAGAAATAGATCAAAACCTTTGACAAATGATCAAAGCGATCACAGAACAAGAAAGTCATTCATTTAACTGGTGAATTCCTAAACTGGCAATCTTTCGCTATTTGTAGCAGATGAAAATCTTGGTAAAAGCTTGTAGCAGCCCAAATTGTAGATGGTTTTTTTTCAGCCTCAACACACAAAAAGGGGGATGAAGAAAAGACTATTTCTCTTTGTTGTCTCCACGCTTTATTGCTTTTGACATATCATTGAGCTTTTCCACAACTTGCTCATCTAATAACATTGTCATTGTGGAGACCTGACAGAATAGAGGGGTAGTAAAGCACACACACACACAGACAAAAACACACATACCAAAATATGGTAATGCTGAAATACCAGTAAATAAAACTGGGTCATCTTGAAAGGCACCACATACAAATATCTGAGCTGTGCAAGATTTCAGGGGTTCCAGGTGGTTACCCAGGGTTCACATTTCCTTTTGGCAATGAGGCTCAGTGGAGACTGTGGTATCTTTCTGATATATGGTTTATTTACAGATATATACAACCTGAGCCTGTGATAGGTAAGGTACCCCTGCCTGTACGGGCCAGTCTTGTCAGACTCTAGGGTTGTGCGCTCATCTTACTCTAGAGGCCGGGAGCCGGCGCCGTTCGCAGACACTTCCGGGTCATGTGGCCAGTGTGACTTCGCTGCTCTGACAAGCCTGCACCAGCGCAGCACACAGAACGCCATTTACCGTATTTTTTTTCACTATAGGACGCACTGGACAACAGGACGCACTTTGTTTTAGAGGTGGGATAAAAAGAAAAAAAAATTCACCCCCACTATGCCCAGCGCCCCTACACCGAAGCGGCAGGAGGCGCTGCGCAGAGAGGGGGAGAACTTTCCCCCTCTTGTTTTCCCACTCTAAAACAAGGTGCCGTTTAAGATGCGTTCAGGCGGCTACCTTGGAAGCCTGGAGAGCGAGAGGGGTCGGTGTGCACTGACCCTCTCGCTCTCCAGGATTCAGGTTCTTTGACCTGCTCTTTGGGGCTGGCGGGGGGGAAGCCCACCACCAGCCCCAAAGAGCAGGTCAGGGAGCAGCGGAAAGGCGCAGCGGAGAGGCTCCTGCCATAGCCACGCGTCACCTCTCCAGCCGGGAGAGGGTCGCGGGGCTATGGCTGCTTTAGCTCCGCTCGCGCTCTCCTGGCTGGAGAGGTGACGCGCGGCTATAGAGGCTCCTGCCATAGCCGCGCGTCACCTCTCCAGCCGGGAGAGGGTCGCGGGGTGCTTCTTTAGCCCCGTGCGCACTCTCCCGGCTGGAGAGGTGATGCACGGCTGTAGAGGCTCCTGCCATAGCCGCGTGTCACCTCTCCAGCCGGGAGAGGGTCGTGGGGCTATGGCGTCTTCGCTCCATAGGACGCAAACACATTTCCCCTTCATTTTTGAAGGGGAAAAAGTGTGTCCTATAGAGCGAAAAATATGGTACCTTCCCGCTATAAAGCGGTACCTATTTATCTACTTGCACTTTTTTTAAGGGTGCTTTTGAACTGCTAGGTGGGCAGGAGCTGGGACCGAGAGACGGGAGCTCACCCCGCTGCGGGGATTCGAACCACCGACCATACGATCGGCAAGTCCTAGGCACTGTGGTTTTACCCACAGCGCCACCCGCGTCCTGAGCCTGTGATGGAGCGGTTCAAATCATCAGCACCCCAAAAGGGTCTTGTTTCTTCCATAGCAACAGCCTTGGATTGAAGCAGAGATCCGGCATGGTTCTCTCTCTCTGCTTGCTGCTTTGCTTCTTGGTCACATCACTGCTCCAAAATTCTACTTCAAACTGGCTTTGTCTGTTGAGGGAGGGGGTTCCACCCATTCGCCATCTCACACTGAG